TTAAGAAGCTGTTGATATTATACAACCAACTAAACATTTCCAAGAGGCAGCATTATATGAAAGAAATGCAGGGGTAGTAATGTTTAATCACAGCTCTTTTTTTTACACTTAAAAATAGGACTATTGTCTATTTGTGGTTCACTTACTTGGCATTTTAGTTTTTCTCCCTGTTTTTGCAAAATAATGCATTTTACAAATAAAAATGCATATCATTTATAACAGAAGATGCCAGACGAGTTTAGTAACTGAATCATTTTTTTGTTTTCATCCTTATAAGAAGACTTACATATTATGCATAAGTTCATAATATTTATACACTTATAACTTTTATAAGTCTATGAGATTCATTCTATTAAAAAGGACATGTGGAAAAGGTCTAATGTCTTAAAGTTTATATTTTTTCCTGTCAAAGTATTTCATTTTCTGAAATACATTGAAACAAAACTGCGCTAAAGTGTATTGTTGAAGAAATTGTAAGAATGAGTCAAGAATACAAGTGTGAGCTATTCCCAGATAATATAAGTGTGATTTCCCTCTGGTATTAAAAGAAGAAATAAAGATGGTTTAAAGATTTATTGAACATATCTATACAGGTACAGTGCCATTGTAGATCTGAAATAGTAGGTATTGGAAGCCAAAGTCTCTTCTACTCATATAAAATGATACAGAACATATTAAGTATGAAGATCATAAATAAACTAATTGAAGACACAACAAAGTATACTTTAAAATTAAGCAATATTTTTGCTTCCAGTCAGGCTAAATTACCACTTTAAATGAGAATTTTCTTCAAAGCATATTTTTATCAACTTATTGAACAAATGTTTATAGGCCTAAGCCTTTGTGCTAGGGATAAATAGTGAACAAAATGAAAGCCTCATCTTTATTAAACTTGAAGTCTTGGGCTTATTCCATTTAATAATGTATTTTTCCATTTAAAAAATCATTTAGACTCTTCTTGAGGTGTAATCTTTGAACCATTAAGAAAAGTCAAGAAAACATAATGTATGAGAAACAATATTTATTAACTTATTGTCCAGATACTTTACTTTAAAGATACTAACATATATATATATGTTATATATTAGTTACTGCAAACTTATAGAATTTAGGTTCTTATGGGTTATTGGGTCCATTTTATGTCTGAAGAAACTAATGTTTAAAGACTTCTTAAGTCATTCATATATTTAAGAAATATTTATTGAGTTCTATAAATATTTCTTGAATAAATTAAATATATACTTAAAATGAATATGCCTGATAGTGGTTTGACAATCATTTACCTTATAAAGTATTACCTCTGATCCCCAATATTTCCAGTATCCACCTGGCACCATAATAGTTATTGCAGTATTATTGGCCATGTTCCCTGTGCTTACTTTACATTCCCATGAGTACTTTGTAACTGCCAATTTATACTTCTTAATCCCTTTACCTCTTTCAAACAGTCCTTAGACCTTATGGAAGCAACCCAGTGCCCATCTATAGATGAATGGATAAAACAAAAAAACACACAAAACTGTGGTACATACATACAATGGTATATTACTCATCCATAAAAAAAGAATTAAATCTTGCCATTTGCAACAGCATGGATGGACCTAGACAGTTTTATGCTTAGTGAAATAAGTCATTTAGAGACAAATACTTTTCATTCTTCAACACCATGGATTATAAAGTCATCTCATAATAAATTGTCCGAATTCTATAGCTACACCTTTGCTCCAAAGAGTTGGAGAGTTTTCAACCCTCTCTTCCATATATACTATATAATTTTGTTCTCAATGTACCAATTTTATCTATGATTATATTCCAGAAACTTGCATCTATATTTACAACCCAACTTTTTTTTTCTAGAGCTCTCCACCTGAATATCTCATTATCTATACACATGTCTCACAGACCTTGATTATCTCACAGACTTGTAAAATTCAACTTGATAAAAGTATGTGGATCCATTATTTTTTACTCCAACTTTCCTTATCTTCTGCTGCCTCTTTTCTATTTTCATAAGATTTCTTGTATGTCTCCCTTCCCCCCTCTAGTCCTTTTGCAACTGACTAAGTGAATCACCATTTCTACTTAAGCAGTACTTTCTTACTGCTATCCTGCCTCCTGCTTGCTGAAATTTTCAGGAGCCCCAGAACAAATGGTGTTCTTGTGTCTGCTGGGCATGATTCCAACATAATACCCATCATAATCGATGGTTTACTTGTTTTGTATGTTTACAGTCCACTCCTATGCTAGAAGTTCTTTGAGGATATGAGGTTATTGTGGCTTTGTAATTATTGCATAATGACAAGTAAGTAAGAGATACAATAATAAATAGAGGGGGTAAAAGAATGAATTAAGTCTCTCTTAAAACTTTTGGAAGTTCTTTGATAAAAATAAAAACTGGAAAAAAGTCAGTGTATGGTCATTCAGAATATAGTTTCTTTGTGTCTGGAAAACATTGTCATTTAATTTAAAACACTCAAATTTTTGCTCATTATTGGTCAAAACTGGGTTTTTATAATAAACTAGAGGCCCGGTGCACAAAAATTTGTGCACTTGGGGGGGTCCCTTAGCCCGGTCTGTGCCCTCTCACAGTCTGGGCCCTTCAGGAGAATGACAACCTGCTGGCTTAGGCCTGCTCTCCAGGAGATCAGGCCTAAGCTGGCAGCCAGACTTCCCTCTGGCAGCCCCGGAACCCTCAGGGGATGTCCACTTGCCAGCGGGGAGCAGGCCTAAGCTGCAGTCCGACACCCTTAGTGCTGCTGA